TCCCCCAGGACCCAAACACTCAAACTGTAGAGGAGAGAGAACCAACTCTCACAGATTGTCCTCTTGACCTCCACACTTGGGCCCGGGCATGCAAGCATAAACAAACAAATAAACAAATGTAACTAAAAACGTTTACATAGTAAAAAAGGGTTTTCAACAAAGAATGTGCAGTTGTTCTGTGAAAGAAAGAGTTATAACAAAAACACTCTTGACTCTTTCTTCTAAACAGAGCCAGGCCCCACGCTTGAGGAATGCCAAGTGATCCTCATTAAAGTAATGAGGATATTTTCAGTGACATATGTCTGACTGACTTGAGTTTAGTTGGCAGAGCTTACGGCAGCTAAAGCCTCCAAAATAACTCATGGCTGGCCAGCCCTGCTGAAACACCCTCGGCAGAAGTATTTCACACTGCTTTAAGGATGATGCCCCACCCTAGGCCAAAGGTCTGCAAGGCCATAGGCAAATTGTTGGGACATTAAACATACATTCCTGTGACACCATCAGCAGGTCAAGCCTAATACCCTGAGCCCATCCAGCTCCTCTCTGCAAAAGTCACTAACCTGAACAGACCCGGTGGCTTCTTGTCCCTGCCCCACCCGGCCAGCAAGTTATTTTTAACTTACAACATTGGCTAATAAGTCTGGTTTGCATTTTAAAAAAATACCCTTTCAGAAACAGAGACTATGAAAAAAAAAATTGCAATTCAGTGAGAAGTCACTCCACTAAAGCTTTGGGAAAAAAAGTAGTCTGGACCTGTTCATCCTAGATCACAGGTTGGCAAGGAGGGCTAAGCAGGACCAGGTTGGCAAAGCACTCCACGGTGTCTTCAGCATGGTCAGCATTGGCCATCAGCAGAGTAGCATTCACACGGGTGTTTTCTAAGAAGTCACTTTTAACCACTTTCTCTCTTTTCCACACCAATTTGTAAGACATCTCTGTTAGAAAAGGTAGCAACGAGGTCAAGTTCCGGACACTATTATAGTGCCCCTAATAAAATGACCATGGGTGGAAGTCATGGGAGTAGCAGCCTTCGAGGTCAGGCCAACATCTGTTGCCTTATTAATTGGATGCCTGCCATGCATCATGCATCATGGCAGGCAGTATGGTAATGGCACCACATCCTAGCAGGACTGTACCTAGTGAGAGCTTCCAAGCCTGCCTCCACCTCTGCATCTTCGGCTTAAGGCTGTAGCATCCACAGCTCTCCTTCGGTGATTCTCAAATGTGCAGCCAGAAGATGGCTTCCAGTCACAGTCTGCATACAGTCAGGCCAGCGTCAAATGTGAAGGTCGCCGAGCTGCAACCAGACACAGCCCAACAAGTTCTCCATCTTGAAGGGCCCAGCGTTACAAGTCTAGTTGTAAACCTAGTTTGAAATCGGTCTTCCATGAAGTGGCCAGTTAGACTTTTGATGATAGAGTAAATCTAAAGCAGCCAATTATACTTTCAAAGTAGTCTGAGTTCAAGTGTGATAGACACGTTTTTTTTTTTTTTTTTTTTTTTTTTTTTTTTTTTTTTAAGAAGGGGTAAGCTTGAGGCTGGAGAGACAATTCCAAGTTTAAGAGCACAGCCTACTCATCCAGAAGACCTGAGCTAAGTTCCCAGTACCCACATCACAACCTCCTGTAACTCTAGCTCCAAGGAATCGAACACTCTCCTCTGGAACATAACACATACATAACATACAATCACATACACACACACACACACACTCACACACAAGCTCATGAGTTTAAAAATCTGTTTTTAAGGAGAAAGCTGAAGAACTCAAAGCAAATGCTGTGGCTTCTGGAGATTTTTTAGTTCATAGCCAGAAAGGAAGGGAGGGAGGGGTGGAGGGAGAAGAGGAGGGAGGGAGGAAGGAAAGGAGGAAAATGTGATTGTTTTACTTTTGTTTGAATTTTAGAGATAAAGTAAAAAAGTCCATCAGTTTCAGCCATTTGGTTCTTCCTAACAGTCTGCTGCAGGGACTTGAGCCTGGCATGGTGAACTTGGCTCTGGCAGGCCTTGTCCTTCTCCCCCACCCCCTCTGCCTTGCTAAACCGTTAGATTGCATTCCTAAAGCTACTCACCAAGGTCCATTCCCTTATTTGGCCACTTCCTCCTCCTGAGGCTGACCACCAAGGTCCAGCTATCAAAGTATTGAAGTCCAACGATCAAAAGCCCCCTTTGACTGCCCTAATTAACCTGCCCAATTAAAATTAAACACTTCATCCTAACATGTGGTTTCCCCTTTTACCTTTATAAACTGCCATTTTTCCTTTGGGCCACGTCTGTCTCCTCTCTATCCAGAGACAATCCTTTGACCCCCCCTCCAGGATAAATACCCCGGCCCCCTCTCTCTTCCCTCCCTCTTCTTCCTCATCCTCTAGCTCCTGTCTGTGTCTCTTGTTCCCTGCCCTCTGTCCCTCTGGGGCAAACTGATCTCCTTTGTGCTGAGAACTTGCTCTTGGGGGTCCTTTCCCCAGCTATAGAGATGATATTGTGGAACAAACAAATCTCAGCATCATTCTACAGGAAACCTTTATTTCTTGCTAACATATGTAGGATACCAGGGAGACCTGTTTCAGGTGTCACATCCCAGGATATATGGTGCCACTCTAGCAGTTCAAAGAGTAGTGACTAGCCTGGGTACAGAAGGGTAGAAACAAGAGATCTCAAGTCTGTAGGTAAATAACCTCTGCCCTCATCACATGTTCCTAGCATTTATTCCATTGGCCCAAGCAAGTCACGTGGCCAGTAACTCACAGGTACAGATTGCCCATCCAGATGCTGCCGTGTCCTGCATGGCTTTAGTTCTGGAAACCTGACTGGGGCAGCAAGAGAATGGAAAAAAGATACACAGGCACAGAAATCTGGGCTTTGGTGGGCCAGGCCACGCACTCTGGTGGAGATGCAGCAACCGCAGAAGCAGCCCAGAAACTCAGCCTTTATTTTACACATCTGAATGGAGGAGGCAGGTTGATGGCATACACCTCAGGGGCAGGCTTACCTAGTCTCAATAGAAGGTCTCTGCAGGGAAGCAGTCTCAGGCTGCGGTGATCCCAGAGGAGAATGCTGTGGTTGATAGTTTTTATACACACCGGTCAGTCGTTCATAAACACTTGTACTTGGGTCATTGTGTTATGTGACAAAACTTTTGTTGGGGAGGCACTACACACATATCTAGTCACCACAGAGAGGGAGCCCAGGGCAGACCAAAGTATGGATACCACCAAAATCAAGCTTGGTAAACCAACGAGTGTTATTGGGGTTACTTGCAGGAATATGGGTGAAAGGTTAGTTACAGGAGGAGAAATGACTCATAGACAGCTGCATCACCAAGACCCACCCCAGCATGGGTGACAAGGCACAACAATGGGAACTTGGAAAACACTGCACAGCCTTCAGGCAGCTCAGCAGGTTGGAGAGTGTCCTTTCCAAGTGACTCTGCTCTAAACCTCTTCCAGGCTGCTAGGTGGTCTCTGCTGCTTCCAGGCATCCTGTTTGGTCTCATTTTTACAGCTTGGCTTGGCTGATGGTCTCCTATTCACCTTGCCTTCTCTGAGAGTGACCCTCAGCAGTCTTCATTACTTACTCTGGCCCGAGGAGGCCTAGTGAATCTTGTCAGTTTCAGGAACTTCCTGAAGCTATTTTGAGTAGTTTACCTCCCTGCTTAAAGAGCTTCCCCACAGTATGGAATGTTTCCATCTTGGAGGAAACTGTTACACAACACACAGGAAGACTTTTGCCAATTTCCTGAACCTAACTTGGAGAAGGTTTGGCCACTCTCATTGGTCTAATGCACCAGGGCCCTCGACATAACGGTAAGCATGTTAACAATACACACTCAGGGTTTCAACTGTTCTTTACATGTTCACGCAAGACTTCCTCCACTCCCCTGCAAGGGGCCAGGTCAAGAGCATGGATACATACCACTATTACAGAGAGGGAAGAAATGGCACTTAAAAACCCAACTACTATACTCTCTCAACAGTCTGAAAGGCAGGCATCCCCTGCACCATTGTCTTGAGTCTGTGGAGCCTTCTGCTGTCCACCCAACAAAGTGTAAGCTGCTTTAGCAAAATTAGAATTCATAGCCTCTGCCTTCAGACCTCTGTGGTTTCTTCCTGGAAGTAGGCCCCTGCATCGTTAATAATCACATCCCTTGCGTTTCGGTGCCCAAATTCGTTCTTCTCCAAGAGCCCCGGCCCAGCGTTGCCTCCTCTCTCAGCCTGATCGGAGTTTAACATTGTTTGGGATCTTCTGCTGTGCTTTTACAAGCCATTTTTACTACTGCTGCACTAATAAATTATTTATGGTGGGAAACCAAAATCAGAAAACCCTGGCTACTTGAAGACAGACTTTATGAAAAACATCTCTTCCCCCTTGCAACAGAGAGCCCCCTAGGCACACTCAGTTCCTCCGCTTACCCAGCCTCAGTGCACAGTGCAAGAGACACTGCCCATGGCTACAGAGGCCAGGGTGTGGAAGAAGAGAGCAGGAAGCTAATTCTCTAATAAATTTAATTAATTAATGGGATTTTTTTTTTCTTTGCTGCTACTGCCTGGTGCCATGTAGGCACAGATGAATGTGACTTTACGGGTCTGACTGGTGGTGGTGGGAGGCCAGTGAATGAAATGGGAAGCCACCTCACCCTGATGCAGTAATCCCTTGTTAACACAAGAATTGGCTATGGAGAGGCTGCTGAGATGATTCGGTAGTAGGATGTCTCAGTGAATAAGGTCTTGATGAGCAGGCATGAGGACCTGGGTTCAGATCGCCAGCACCCATGTTTAAAAAAAAAACAAAACAAAATAACACACTATGCCTTTATCCCAGTACTGGGAGACAAAACCAGGAGAACCCAGAGGTCCATTGGCCTGCCAGTCTAGACAATAAATGAGCTCCAGTTTCAGCGAGTGTTGTCTCAAAAATAAATTAAATAAGGCCAAAATTGAGAAGATACCTGACATTAACTTTTGGCCTCCACATGCACACATACACGGGGGGTGGGGGAGGTGGGGGGGTGGGGGGGTAAGAGAGGATGGTAATGGGTGGCCAGTTCTGGGCCTGATAGCAAGGCACTGGGCTGAGATGTCTCTAGAATAAAAGGGAGTTTATATTCTGCAGAAAGGGGACGATTAGTTGAGAAGAAAGTATCCATAAGACCCTGGGTAGTCTTAACCCTCTCTGAGGACCCATTGGCCTTTCACCTGAAAGCCATGATGACACCAGACAGGTCCCCATGCGAAACCCAGGAGAGGACTTTATAGCTAAAGGCCAGAGGACAACCTGAACTGCATGAAACTGAACTGCAGAAAGGGCAAGAGAGGAGGGCTCCAATGATTCCACAGGATAAAAGTGCAGCCCTGGGGCACTAGACCAGGTACAGTGAGCACAGCCGGAGACTCTTTCGGACTCTCAGCACTGGCAGCGTTCGGATCAGGCGCCTCAGCTGCCAGCGCGCTGTTCGCTCAGGGTCCCGGGCTGGGGCCCAGGACTGTCTCAGCTCTTCACTTCCACGCTTTGGAGTCCAGAAGCCGCAAGGTCTCCCCCTCTTTCCCCCATCTTTTGCCACCGGAGTGGGGGGTGGGGGAGTCGAGATTGACAGCACACACATCAATGACAGCTTTAAGGCGGAAGGGGTGGGGGCTGTCCCTCCCCACTCCTGACGCACCCGCTCCCCTCCTCCCCTTAGCACACCCTGGCGCCTGGAGTTGGTACTGGCAGTCAGAGAGGACCAGGGACTGCGCCCCGTACCCTGCCCCTGACACTCCGGCCTCCCCTAGGCTGATCTGCTTGCAAAGATGCGTCCCCACGTTCCCAGACACCTAGGGTCTGATGGTTCCCAACCCTCGGAGCCGGCTTCCCAGCTGCACCTAGCTAGTCCAGGAGCCGTGGGGAGAACCTAATGCCGAGTACAGGGCCAGGATCTCGGTGGCGGCAGCTACTCCCGGTGGGGGGGGGAGGGGGCGGGCCGTTAGGGGGGGTGCAGAGGTGCCAGGGGACCGAGGGACAGCGGGACATCTGGCCTGGCCACGCGGCTTCAAGTTTCCCCGGGCGCAAGGTTGTGCAACCGCGCGATTCGAGCGAGAGCCGAGAGCGCCTCGGAAAACAAGGCGAGCCCATAAACAAAGCCACGTGGCCTCGGGGCCCGGGGGGGCCGGGCTAAGAGCAGGCGGCTCTTCCGGCAACAAAGAGCCGGGGCAGAGGCCCGGGATAAATACTGCGCCCCGGCAGCCTGGCGCAGCATTCCCGGAGTCCGACGCGACCGGAGACCCTCCCCAGCGCCTGCGCTCTCTGCGAGTGCAAGGACACCCGCCCCGCGCGCCCACCCCAGACTCGCAGCCCTCCACACCAGTTCCCCACACTTGTCCCGGTCGCCGCCTGTGTTCCCCTAGCATCTTTCCAGCGCCGCGCATCCCTGGGGCCAGCCAGGCCGGTCGGTCCCCGGCTCTCAATCCGTCCTGTCCGTCGGTCGCGTCCGCGCTCGGTGCCATGCCGTTCCTTGGGCAGGACTGGCGGTCCCCAGGCCAGAGCTGGGTGAAGACAGCCGATGGCTGGAAGCGCTTCCTGGATGAGAAAAGCGGCAGCTTCGTGAGCGACCTCAGCAGGTGAGGACATACCCCCAACTTCCAACCTCGCAAAACCCGACCTTAGCTGGTCGCAGAGGTGGGGTGTGGGGTGGGAAGCGCCTCAGGGGCAGATGAAGGAAGGCAAGCAGGTCTGGGCCAGAATAAAGAGGGAGCCTCTGGCTGGGGGGGGGGGGGGGAGGCAGAAGTGAGGTGCCCAGATTTCTGCAAAGGTCGCCAGAACACAAGAGATGGGTAATTTGGTGTCTCTTACTGATCAAGGTCAGTGTCTCCCAGAGAAAAAGATTCCATACAGAACCCGGGATCCCTCAGTCTGGCAACCGGGGATCAGGTCCCATAACACTTGCACTCAGGCGCACAACTCGGGGACTCTTGCCTTTAGACCCCGGAATTGCACAGTTACTGCTTTAAGTGGGCGCCAGCGAGTTGGCTGTGTGCCTTTCCCTGTCCTGTGACAGGACCCAAGGAGAACAAGTACGGCAGTCACGAGCCGGATGGTGGGTCTGGTCGTGGGCACTGCCTGCCCTGAGTTGCACGAAGGCTCTTCCCACACACAGTCGACGGCTGAGTGGGCCGAGAAAAAGAGTGACTGGGAGGGGCAGCCGATGGGCCCTGGGACAGCAGCCTTCCTGGGCAGACTTGCGAGTGGGTGGTAGTGGTAACGCTTCGGGGCCGCAGGGAGGCGGGTACGAAACACGCAGCACGCACAAAGCTCGGCTTCAGGAAGGACCAGGCTCTTGCACCTGTTTCCTCCGTGGCCCTTTCCAGTCAGTCTTCACACGGTGTGCACACTCCCATCCCTAGTGGTGCCTGCCAGCTGCAGAAAGACCACCCAGACTTGAAGTCTCACCTGAGCTCTGTCGTCTGGTGGAAAATCTGAGGTCGGAACAAGTGCCCACTCATAAATTATAAGGTCGAGAATCAACCCCCAACCTGGGCAGCTGACTGCCTGAGCCACCCGAGGAGGAACGTGATAAAAATGGGTTCAGAGGGGCCTGGTGCAGTTGAGGTCACCCCTGGGCGCCTTCCCCTCCCACTATCCTTTGATTGACACCCCCACACAGCCCTGCATCCTTCAACTGACTTCAACAACGTTCTGTGAGTGGGCCAGGTCCCACTGAGTGAGATTTGCCAGTGGTTGTTTGAATAAAGGTTTGGTAATTAATTATCAAGAAACTATGGTTATATGGGCAGCTTGACCTCCAAGGCCTCCCATTTGATTGTGATTTGTAATGCTTGAATTCCCTCTGTCTCTTAATGAAGTGAAACAAACCATTGAACTCGGGGCCTTTCAGGAGAACCGACTATATTAATTAACCTCTGTGTTAGGTCCTCGGAAGTAGTTTAGAACACTCTAAAGAAATCTTATTCACAGAAAATCAGATAAATGACCAATTGTTGTACCTGACCATTTTCCAGAGAATAGAGTTAGCAGTTATACCTAATACTTCTTCCTCAGCTAAGTGAGAAGGGAGTAAACCAGAAGAAGCTTTCTCCTCGGAATCATTCACCTTAGAAGCCAGAATCTAATATCCCAGCCCTCGGTTTCTGCATAAAAAGTTCAGCTTCGGGCCGGGCAGCAGTGGCACACACCTTTAATCCCAGCACTCGGAGGCAGAGCCAGCCGGATCTCTGGGAGTTCAAGGCCAGCCTGGTCTACAGAGAGATCCAGGACAGGCAACAAAACTACACAGAGAAACCCTGTCTCAAAAAAAAAAAAAAAAAAAAAAGCTCAGCTTGATCCCAGGGTGATGCTGCAGGGGTTCAGCCAGCTGCATCACAGAGACTTGCCCCAATAAAATAGGGTAACAGCCCACTGTGTTCAGCAGGCCCAGATCTAAAGGAGGGGAGACCACAGTGCACCTAGACACTCACTCCACTCTTGCTCTGGGCTACAGAAATCATGACACCCCACTCTCCCTGTTACAAAAGACCTGAGGATGAGTTCATCTTGCCCCGCAAGTTTTAAGGAGGCTGGAGTCTGGGACTGCATCCCTTCCTGCCCACTCCCCTTTTCTGTTCTTGCACATCACACCTGTGAACTGAAGCTGTCACTCCCAGTCATTATCTCAGCAGTGATCAACACCGTGACCACCTGCAGCCCTCTGCTGAGTCACAGTTGAGGACCGAGCCATTTGGTCATCTGCCTCTCTGCAGAGCAGCTGGCTGTTTGCAGGGTATTTTTTTTCCCCCCAGCAACCGTAAACAATCCCCTCCTTCCTTAGCTCGAGAGTCTGCCAACTTCTTAAAAGCAGTGGCCTCCTGAGGTCTGGGTTTGTGATCTCAAATATCCCACTGTTTCCCGTCTTGGTTTTCCTGTGATGTAAGCTTTGGGCCCAGTGCCTGACTGCCCAGGTGAGCTTGAATGCCCTCTCTTGTTCTCAGAAAACAAAAGGTAGGTCCTTTATAAGAGAAGGTGAGTGACTGTAAACTGAACTACTGAGGCACAGGCTGCTTCTCTAGTTCCATGGACCATCCTGAGAGTTGCCTAGCAAGGGCGAAGAATAAAGGTGTGCTTTGGGGGGTTATTAGTGTGAACCCTGACTTGCCTGCACGGTACACCTGTTCTAGACTCTGCTGGCCATTGTTCCTGTGGTCCAGGGCCCTGTCCTCCAACAGCCAAATGTTAAAGTCTCAAAGCAGCCAAATGCCTCCTGAGACCATAGACTTTAGATAAACTTAAAGCTGGTCCCTTAAAAAGTTGGAACTTGTAAGATAAAGGAGGAACGGCAAATAAGGCAGATTAGAATATCAAAGAAGGAACAGTGAGCTGGAATGATCCAAGAATGCTTCAAGGAAGTGGTGGTTGAGATGGCCCACACTGCCTCCTCCCCAACCACCCTTGCCCCACCCCAACCCCAGGATGAGTAATCTCAACTCTCTTCTCCAAGCCTGGACTTCTGCAGTTAAAAGCCCATTTCAATGATATAGACTGTGTGTTGCTAAGGCTGGCCCGGGAAGGAGGAAGTCGGTCTTTATGCCTTGAATAAAAATAATAGTGGAGATATTTTTATAAGCACTTACTCTGTGTAAGGCAGTATTGTAAGAAGCTTCGTGCACTAGCCTGTTTCCCCAAAGCAATCCAGGAAGTAGTCCTTTGAAGTTTGGCAACCTGGATATGACTTTGAGCAAATAAACATCAAAATCTCATTGGCCATAATCAGGACTATAGAACCACTTTGGGTCAGGACGTGATTTTCTTAAATGTTTTTCTTAGTAACAAATGAAATAAATAAAGGTCATGTTTCCTAGCCCCTCCTTTGTCTGCTGCCACAATAGTATTATTTTGAAATCTTTCCACCTTCTCTGCAGTCGTCTTATAGTGTTTTCTGTATGTTTGATGGTAATGTGGATGCTGGGTGAAGGGGGGCTTTTTCCTTATTCTTGGCCTGTGCCTATAAACATCAACATTAGTAAGAAGTAGCTACAAAGTAACAACTCACTGACTATTGTTACATTTGGTGAGGAAGGCAGCCTCCTTGAGATGGTTTTGATTATTTTAAGTATGTGTGTATATATATATATATATATATATGTATGCTGTAATTTGTAAACGGTGGATGTTTTTCTTGTTAAACATTGAGTTGTAATTTTCCATTGATTTTGCATTTCCTGGAAATAGACATAACTAGAGTCTCAAAATAGCCATGGAATAGATTATTGCTTGAGAGAAAACATAAGCAGACTACACAAATAAACTTCACAGCCTCGCTTCCAAGCCCAGCCTCCAGAATTCAAACCCTAATCCAAAATGAAACGTATAGGGTTTCCCTGCGGTTAAAACTTTTCTATACTCTGCATCAAGAGAGCATCATCAATGGTGTGAAATTCTTCCTGAATTGGCTTTGGGAATGAGTCACTCCAGCTTAAAGCAGCTCATAATAGCATCTGTGATGAAAACAAGTGTTCAACTTCCCTGGAACACTTTCCATTAGAAAAGTATAAGATGAGGTGTGGACGGTTAAAACTGGTGGAGAATGGTCACTATCTGGGCCTGATAAGGAATGCTGCTGCAGACCCTTGTATGTATGACTTAAAATAACTTTGCTTTGTTGTTCTTTAGGTGTGGAATTTTTACTGAAGTTTGTAGGGCTGTGGGTCTCTGTGTGTATTTCTTTAAACATAAGTCTTCCCGTGGTATTTTTGCCACAGAATGTTCTAGCTTTGTTTTCTGACGCTCTGGGACATCACGGACCACTCAAGTGACTTCCCATCTTTTCCTCTTCCTTGGCTTTGGTTGAAATTCTTTAAGTTAGCCTCCGAAACTGGAGTTCTGTTCTTTATTCTGCCCCTTTCTTCATGCTGACTAGAAGCAGAACATGACCTTGTCAGTGGCTCTGTGCCCCTCACAGCCATGTAGGCAGACAGACAGACACACACTCAGCCTTACAAAGCCTGACCCAAAATGTTCACCCTTGACTCACTTAAACAAGTGCCTCCGAGAGAGGGCATTTCTGCACCACACAATCTAAGCCTAAAAATATCCCGTTTCCCTGAATGGAAAAGAGCAAGCTAAAGGCGTTCGGGAACTCAATAAATCGTTTACTGGTGGCCTGTCGGTTTGTCCCTGCCGGATCTGAAAGCAGGATCAGGGTATCTAGCTGGTGATCTCAGCATTTTAATAAGATACTAAGGCAAGTCCTACTTACCGAGACACCAATCGCAATGAGAGAATACTGGACAGTTTCCGGCCTTCCTGTCCCTGCTATCATTTACACAAAGTAGGAAATACAGAAGAGCATATATGCTTATATTCATCCCCCCTAAAAACATATAAATCAAATCACATTTTAAATTCTACAAAGAAAGTCAGAAAATTAAAGGACTCTTAATATATTAGTGGACACACACACCTGATTTGTACAGGTGGTTGTTATAAATCCTTCCTGCCTCTTGAGGGTTGAAAAGCAGGGAGCCAGGCAGTGGTGGTGCATGCCTTTAATCTCAGTACTCAGGAGGCAGAGGCAGCTGGATTTCTGAGTTTGAGGTCAGCCTGGTCTACAGAGTGAGTTCTAGGACAGCCAGGGCTACACAGAGAAACCCTGTCTCAGAAAATCAAAATGAAAACCAAAAAGAAAAAAGAGGCAAGGAACCCATCTTCTTGTTAAATTTAGTATTTCTTCCTCATCATTTTTGTAGAAAGTATTCAGGGATTTTCTTTACATTGTGAGACAATCACCCTTATTCCCATGATACCTCAGCCTGCTGAAGGAAATAGACACCTGGACAAAGTTGGACCAGCCCACCCTTCAGTGACCTATGAATTGAATAAGTGTATTTGGTGTCTTTTCAGCCCCTCTGAGTTTATGAATTATGCATTTTCCTGGTTTCTGTTAGGACCCAACACTTTAGCCTTTCAGCCTGAAGCCTCGTGTTGTTAATCAGAAACCTAAACAACTAGCATCGTATGCCAAAGACCTGCTGGAAGGGGAGTTCGCAAGTCAGATTTTTGTAATTGTGATCATGTTTTAAAGGCATGGCAGGAAGACGCAGGCTAAAGCAGCTTGGTTATACTTTAAAATGGATGACTTGTATAATATGCAATTTATAGCTCAATAAAACTGTTTATAAAGAGAAGGGCAGGATGGGATAGCACGTGCTTGCAATCCCAGCATTGTGTACACCCAGGAGGCTGAGGCAGAGGAACAGTACATTCAAAACCAGCCTGTGCTGCACAATCATTGAAGGCCAGCCTGAGCTACATAGTAAAACCTTGTCTTAAAAAGAAGAGAAAAAGGTATTGGGCGGCAGTGGCACACACCTTTAATCCCAGCACTGGAGAGGCAGAGGTAGGTGGATCTATAGGGATTTGAAGCCAGCCTGATCTACATGGTGAGACCCTGTCTGAAAAAGAGAGAAGGGGTTGAGGGTTGGAGAAGATGGGGAGAGGATGGTGGAAATGGAAGGAAGAAGCCACAGCAGCTTGGAATCGATGCTCTGCAGCTTGCAAAATGCGGGCATTGTGTGGCACAGTGATGCCAGCCATCTCCCTCCCCGGGTCAGCACTTTTGTTTAAAGTGATACTGTCACGGACTGCTTCGCTCTTAAAGAGTATAGTGTTCTGTATCCAATTATAATGGAAGGCCCTGTTAGGGAATTCAGAAGAAGCACAAGCCCCCATCCCTGCCTTCCACATGGAGGTGATGATGTTTTTACTCAAAGAGTCTCTGTGCTTATGGTTCTCAACCTGTGGGTTGCATCCCCTTTGGGGTCAAATGACCCTTTCCCAGGGGTCGCATATCAGATATTTACAATTCATAACAGCAAAATTACAGTTACGAAGTAGCAAGAAAATAATTGTATGGGTGGGGGTCACCACAACATGAGGAACCGTATTAAAGGGTCACAGGACTAGGAAGGTTGAGAACCACTGTTGTATGGACTTTTTTTTTTTTATGATTTTATTGTTTTGTTTTGTCTGGGACGCATCTGTGTTGGTGTGTTTTATAAACCAGTGAGTTATTTGTGGAAGGATAGCTGCTGCATCCCTCTTCTCTTCCCTTACAGTTACTGCAGCAAGGAGGTATACAATAAGGAGAATCTTTTCAACAGCCTCAACTACGATGTTGCAGCCAAGAAGAGAAAGAAAGACATACTGAACAGCAAAACCAAAACTCAGTGTAAGTCATTTGTTTTGAACATAAAAAGAAAGGTGTCTGGGGGACAAAGCTCAGTTGGTAGAGTGCCTGCCTAGGAGGCACAGAGTCCTGGGTTCAATACCTTAGTACTGCATAATTAGGCATAGTGACCCTGGATGAAGGCCATCTCAGTAGGAGGGTCAGAAGTTCAAGGCCATCATCATCCTTGCCACATAACAGATCCAAAGCCACCCTGGGGCTACATGAGACCCTGTGCCAAAAGAAAAAGCCGTTGGAAGATTCTTTTTTGTTTTTGTTTTTGTTTTCAAGACAGGGTTTCTCTGTGTAGCTTTGGCACCTTTCCTGGATCTCACTCTGTAGCCCAGGCTGGCCTGGAACTCACAGAGATCTGACTGGCTCTGCCTCCCAAGTGCTGGGATTACAGGCGTGTGCCACCACTGCCTGGCTTGGGAGATTCTTGTGAATGGTTCTTGAAAAACAAATTAGCACCTCTCAGATTAGACAGCTGCCTTCTATATCACTAACTGAGGTTTCTGGGATCTTTGCTTCCACAAACTCAACTATGTTTTTCACAAGCACAATTATCGTATCCTTTTTTTTTTTTTTTTTTTTGGTCAGAACTGAGGACCGAATCCGGGGCCTTGCGCTTGCTAGGCAAGTGCTCTACCACTGAGCTAAATCCCCAACCCCCAATTTTCGTATTCTATACTGTTCAAAAGTCCTTGCCAGCTGAGTGCATCCCTGCTTGTCCCTTGTGTGTGGCATAGGTGGGATAGTTGCAGTGCAGGGATACAGCTGAGGCCATTCCCAGGGTGCTTTGCTTTTCAGCTGTGTTTTGAGGCTTTGAAAATAGAGTTGTGAGGCTAAGGATGTAGCGCAGTGCTTGCCTCACAGGTGGGAAGTCCTGTATTCGTCCTCAGGACCAAATGAGGTCAGTGTAGGTGCCTAGACTTTGTCTCAAAATGAAAAAAAAAAGGGGGGATGGAAGAAGAAAATAGGTACATCTCTCTTGCAGAACTCTTATTCACATGGTCTCGATACTTAGGTGATGGCAGAAGATACAAGGTTTTTACCAAAATTGAGTATTTTCATTCTCTCAGACTGTCGGTCAAGTCTTTTTTGTCAAAACATTTTAAACTTTGGAATAAATAAATAAATAAATAAATAAATAAATAAATAAATAAATGAGTCATGTTTGAAATCTGAGGCCTGCCTGCTACAAACTGTTCAGATATGTTTTCTTTTTCATGTTTGGCCTCTGTAGATTTCCATCAAGAAAAATGGATCTATGTTCACAAAGGAAGTACTAAAGAGGTAAGCACACATCTACTTACTGAAGCCCCGTGCTTAGCAATGCTGTACCTTCCTAGGAGAGCATTGAGCAAAAACAGTCCTTTACATCTAACAGGAGCCAGGAGGGTAGCAACCTTCTGTCAGAGAGAGAGAGAGAGAGAGAGGGAGGGAGGGAGGGAGGGAGGGTGATTGAGCGAGCGAGCGAGCAAGCTCTCTTCAGGTATTGGCTTGGTTAGGGGTTAGGTTTGAGAGGACTAACAATTAAATCTGGCAGGTGTTTTCAGTGTCTGCTCTTTGTACTCTGGGTAGGTTTAGGTCCTTATGCTAGCCATCTTGTGTGGCACTTGATAAAACGAGCAATTTGCTCACTAGAACATGAGGCAATAGGATAGGATATCGTGACAGCATCCTGTTTCTTTCAGGGACCTTGGAAAACACCTCATTTCTCTATGGCATCAGACCCAGAGAGGGTGGAGCAGGGAGGGACAAACCCAAATCACCCAGGAACTTAGGACAGAATGAGATGATAGGCCAGAACTCTGTATTCCCAATTCTCTGTGCATCCGTACTGAAAGTTCAAAACTTGTTTTCCTCCTTACAAAGCAGTGGGTGCAGGGTGATGCCACCGTGGAGGCGGGGAGAACTGATCTCTTCCCTTGAGTGTGTGGCAGACACTGTCACAGCCCCAAATAGCATATATTCAGTTCCCAGTAATGCACATTAGTACCCCCAGATAGTGTGTGCAGAGAACTAGGGTGGTACTAGTCATGAAAAGGGATAGTCCACAGATTAGCCCCCAGCTGAAGTCGAGGTAGGCTGCACCACCCACCTGTGTCCCCTGGGATTCCGATACAGAGAGGAAGACAAAAGCCAGTCCTCTTAGACTGGCAGCCAGAGGGTTCAGTGGAGTCCAGTGGAGTGTACTGGAGAACAGCCTGCACACGGCAGGAGTGATGTGTGCCTCTGTTTCACTCCCATGCAGCGCCATGGCTACTGTACTTTGGGGGAAGCTTTCAACAGACTGGACTTCTCAACCGCCATCCTGGATTCCAGAAGATTCAACTACGTCGTAAGGGTGAGTCTCCAAAGCCCACGCTAATCCAGACTCTTGAATTGGATTATTAACATTCAAGTTATCTGGCCGGGCAGTGGTGGTGCACTCCCAGCATGCGGGAGGCAGAGGCAGGCAGATCTCTGAGTTCCAGGCCAGCCTGGTCTAGAGAGTGAGTTCCAGGACAGCCAGGGCCACACAGAGAAATCCTATCTTGGAAAAAAAAAAAATTTCATGTTGTCCTAGTTTCAATTGAAAGACAGAGAGACAGAGACAGACAGAGAGAATGAGAATGAGATTTTCATGGCCCTGAGGGTTCAGGGCGAGCAGAAAATAGCTCTCTCCGGCATCTCTTCCCCAGTCCCCAATAATTGAGGGTCTAGATGGTAGCTGTGTTGTTGTCTCTGAGATGGACCCCCCCTCAGACATGGAGTGCCATAATTCCTCAGTGACTTTGTTAGTCAGTCACCCCAAAGTGAAAATTCACTCCTGGTCCTGTCCGCTAACCCCCCATCCCGTCTAATTGGGAGCAGGAAGCAGGCAGCAACAGCCGTGAAGGGGAAAAAGCCCCAAATTAAGCTTGTGTGGAAACCTTCTGATTGTTCTCGCTCTTGTGCTTCAGCTAGCTCTGGGTCACATCAAGGCCTGCTTCACTCAGGCCACAAAGCCCCTCAGTGTGGCCTTCCCATGTCTCCCACCCCACACTGAGTCTCCATCTACCTAAGTCTGACACCGCCATTGGGGTCTGAAGCTTTCTATATTAAACCCTATTTTGAAAAAAAAAATAATGAGTATTAGCAAAGTATTAATAATGAAGGAGGTAGCACAGTGAGCCTAACATGACTTTGAAGCTATTGAGTTTGTTTGGTTGATGGTTTTACGCACACGCGCTTCGTGGTACATTTTGTGTTGATGGCTCACCCTGGGAAGAAGCAGCTGTTTAGGTTTGGGGCTCTGAAGTTGGAGGGAATTTCCACCTGTGGGTGTTACTTGGTGAAGCGTTTGTTTTCTTTTTCTGGGTTGTCTGGCTTCTCGGTGCCCATCACACAAGTCAGATGACCGCAGAAGCTCAGCCAGGGTGGTGACATTCAAGCCCCCTTGAGGCCTGGTTCATTCACCTGTCATCTGGGGAGATACAGGCTGGCTGTGCAGAATGACCTGGCAGACGCCCAGGCCTTCAAGCAGCAGGTTGGCAGGCCTGCGCTGAGCCCATGACGCATGAGCAGTTCTGTGCACTCTCTGGCCGAGCCCTTCACCAGTCCAAGAGGGATAAAAATAAGAGCCCTTCTTGGGTAAAATGTTCCTGTCATTCTGCATGAGTCTGCTGTTTAAGAGAGGTCACCTAGTCCTCACAATGCCTACAAACTAGTCTGGCTGGTTGGAATTAGTCCCGGGGAGATCTGGAAACTTCTGTGGCTAAGAATATGAATAGTTTCCATCAGCTGTGTCAGAGGACACACTCAGATCTGATTACATGTTACAAATCGATCATCAAAATGATCTGGTTTTAGATGGCATTTCTTCCCACCAATTGTCTTTTCAGAAGAAATAAAGCAGAGGGCCCAGATTATAACACAGCTGCATACGTTTTCACCTTGAATCTTTCCAGTGTTCCTATGAAATGTAGGTGCTTAGATTATTTCCGTGTAAACAAACGGTGAGGCCGGGTGATTGACTGGTCTGAGGTCACAGGACTATGGGAGGAACAAAATGCAGACTTGAGAACTGGATACTCTTAAGAGCTCATGCTGTGTCAGCTTGCTTCCCTGGGTTCTTTGTAAGCAGGGGCTTAACTTAAATGTCCTGAAGTCCGGGGCCCCACCGGGTTTCCTCTTCCATGAGAGGGGTGTCCCTGGTTACAAAGGGAAGGTGTGGAAACATGGTGATGTTTTTTTACACATGGGTGAACTCTGCAGTTGAGAGCCAGTGATGCAGACTTAGCCACTAATACTTAATAGTAATTAATATTAATTACTAATATTGTCAATGGATTGATTCTATTCAATATTAAATTGAATAATTATGTTGATTAATTATAATTGATGTGTTAAGTTGGTTGTTAATATTAATTAATTAAGGGTTGCCTGCTTACCAAAACTACTGTTGAGTCCCCATAAAAGAGGGTTGGAGGTTGGTAGCTAGGAATAGCAGCTGACTGCCGGTACACCAAGGCCAGAGAATGCAGCATATCTCAGCATTGGTTGCACTTAAGCACTTAAGAAGCCGGTAGGTATAGGCTACCTGCCCCAAGAGCTTCTCAATTAACTAATTGCAGGCTGTGTGCAGTTATTGGCATTTTCTAAATATCTGCTAGGGAAATCCCTGTGAGTTTTAGAGTCTGCAGACTAATTCAGGAATTTATTTAGGGCCCAAATGTTGTGTTTTGCATAATGAACTTTTAAACAAGATAGACAGTATCAAAGTCTGATTATGACTTCTGCAGTGTGTACTGTGGGCCATCTGCAATGCATGATGGGAAGAAGGGAGCCCCTCCCATTTTCCAGCTCGAAGTCTAAACCATAATTGCTCTGATACCGTCCATAAATCAATTGCTTTGTTCCTCTAAACTGTGGAGCTGTGGGAATTGTACCTGAATCAAGGTATCTCTATGAGAATGGAAAAATGCAGTGTGAAAATAAAGATACAGGATGTGGGAAGTGTTACGTAAGTTTCAGTGATTTACATACGTACAGCCATCTTTCTTGAGTGAGTAAGATGGGGAGTCTGGGTTTGCACATGAGATGCAATTAAGGATTTGCCTGTTGCACTGGGGACTTCTGAGGTGCTGAGCATGGCTGACCATTTTTTTTAAAATGCCTCTGCAGTGAGGCTTGATGATCACAAACACCAACATTTACCCAAACGACCCCGTTCTTCAGTGAGTCCCTCAAGAAGGCTGCATTATCAGGGGCCAGGGAGATGACTCACCAGGTAAAGGCACTCACCACACAAACCTGGCAACTGGAATTCAGTTCCCTGGGCCCACATGATGGAAGGACAGACTGACTCTACGATTGTCCTTTGATCTCTGTATGTACAGTGGGGTAAGCATGTACCATGTGAGTACACACACACACACACACACACACACACACACACACCACCACCACCACCACCACGACCACACCATACACACACACACACACCATAACACACACACACACACACACACACACACACACACACACCACACCATACACACACACACACACACACACACACACACCACACCACACCATACACACACATACCCCATAATACATACACACACACACACACCGTACCATACGCACACTCAAACCACCACCACACACACACACACACTGCACAATAAATAAATGTTTCTTTAAAGAAATAATGAGAGCGACCCTCCTCAAAGCTAGATGGAAGGAGAGAAATGTCCTGTGCCCTCCCTACACTTGCTGTGACCTGTGCACACACACATTACATACACACAAAAGAAAAATAAATATTTTTAAAACAAGATTTTTTATATATGATAAACTGGAACTATCTCCAAGACAGTCCATTCTTCAAGCAGAGAAAAAAAACTGCCTTATTGGAATAAAATAGAATTAAGTTAAAACTCTATAGCACCAATAAAAAAAATGGCCTAGGTACGGCCCATGGTAGAGCACTTGCTTAGTATGTGTTATACCCTGGGTATTCTAGCCCCAGCACTGAAAAAAAATTTCTGTATACACATATGTGTATGTGTATATTCTTATTTATGTGAGGTAAATAAGTGAGAATGATGGAAAATAAATAGACATGACACCGCCTTAAGGTCTACAGTAGGAATGAGGCAACCTCCTCAGGCCAGTCTGGTCTCCCACTTGCGTTTGTGTGTACCAAAAGCCAAGAATGATTTGCATATTTTTCAAATTAAAGAAGTATAATAATTAATAAGACATTAAAATTATGCACAACCCAAATATCAGTGTCCGTGCAGTTTTACTGGAGCCCAGCTATGCACACTTGTTACATACCGTCTGTAGCTCTTTCTGTGCTAAGTGGAAATCGGATTCAGAGTTGAGTGACAGTTCTTGGAGCCTGCAGGCCTGAAACATTTACGATCCTTTAAAATTTTTCTGACCTCTGCTGTACCACCTACTTCGTGATTTGTGGAATATGTTGGTGATTTGGAAAATACGTACTGCAGTTATCTGAGCTGTATCACCATAATACAGAGTTTTAAAGTGCCTGATAGGCCCTAGCGTGTAGAGAAGGTAACCTATGAAGAGTAAGTAGGTAGATAGCTTAGAGGAGGTAGCCTGTTAAGTCTCAGGAGGTGGGAGCATTGTGAGCAGCTTATCCGATAAAGACTACCAGGAAGGAGTAAGTGGGGCTGGAACAGGTCTTAAGGATCAATAAAACTCAGGGAGACTAGAGCTCATTAGTCTGTCCAGGGCTCACGTCTGTCCAGAGATCATTACAGAATATTCAATCTGGATGAAAGTAGCTGAGTGTACTTCAGCATACAGGATCAGGGGAGGCTGTTGCCATGCACAGTTTTCACGTGATCCTGAGCAAACTTCTGGCATGGTAGTGATGGTCACGGACATCCTCAACTCTCTCAAAGATGTAGCTAACAGCAAATGAGATCATGTGGGGATCATTCGTGAATGGGTGAATGCTGGTGATGGTGGCTCCGTTAGCTATGGCTAAACAAGGAAGTAGACTTAAGAAGAGTCTTCAAGTTCGAGGCTTCTTTATGTGACGTCATCTGGTAGACAGGAGGGATCCATGGGGAAGAAAAAAGTCAAGGAACAGAGAACATCGGAAAAGCGTTATTTTAATAAGCCATACTTGTGACAGCTTTGGACATTAAATCAGTTACTGGCTATCTCTTTGCAGTTCACTGGTCCTAACCCTGTGCATCTACTTCTTCTGTGAAAGTGGGCAGATGTGATAAACCATTTTGAAGATGAGAAAGCAAAGGTCCGGGAGTTGAGTGATTTGTACAAGGTTGCCTAGCCAAGAAGAGACACAGGGGATCTAAACCTGTCCTGTACTTGGCGCTC